AGAAATTGTGTAAGCAGAGAAAGTGAGAAACCCTAAATTCTTCTCTTCATGGTAGTTAGAGTTTGATCTTAGAACTTTTCTCAAGCTTTAATTGGAATGTGGAATAGCGTACTGACTCTATTTGTAATATATGTGAGCAATTAACTGAGAAGTACAGATTGTAATCAAGTGAATTGACAAATGCCATAGCAAAGAGAAAAGGAAATGAAAAGGAATCTCAGAATGTTGTGTGCGATTAAGGGTCGTTGATGTTTGCTTTTGATGTATTGTATGTGTTTTTTTTCTCGAAGAATGACAATGTGTTGATGAACAGAGAGCTGGAGAAGAAGTACTTGATAAGGTTTTATCTGAGCCAATTCGACCATATTTTGTGATCGCAAACATTACATGTGGGAACATGGAAAAAACTTTGAGACTGGTATGGTTTCTTTCTTCCAAAGTTTAAAGATTTCAAATGTCCATTTTAAGTTCTTGTCATTGTGATTCTAATGTTGTTGTAGATAGCGAAAAGAGTGGGATCAAGGGTTCCTATTATTGTATCTCTAGTTGCTGGAATCTTAGGAAAAGAAGCGTGCAATGATAAACCTGAAGAGGTCTGCTTGTTTCCATCCTCAAGAAATATGGAATTTTGTTTCATTGGCATACATTCGAGTAATATAACATTTACAGGTCAAACAGCATGCTACAACTGATGGTGTAATGTCGGTTGATCCAAGTTTTGCTATACTGTTGACGATTGGCTACTTGCCAGGAATGAAAGTCGACGTTATTCCTGTAATTCTAGGAAATGGGGTAAACATTTCTCAACAACAATGTCTTGAACATTATAAAATTATTTTTTTTGGTTCCACGGTGATTTACGCTTGCTATTTTCTTTTTCGTTTTCTTCAATGAATTTGCTTCTTGGAAGCCATAGTTTTAATCTTCAACATATAGAACAAAAGCTACAATTCAAGTGAACTTCGATTGTGTAGTGGACTATTCATGTATCATAATGCTTTTTTTTTAATAGATAGATTGGTATTGTTGTTATCTTTGCAGAAATCTGAAGCAAGTATTGGAGACAAATTTGTGATGGATATCAGGAATTATGTGTCTGTGGTTTCAGATCATGCTGCACCGGCCTGTCTTATACTCTTTGGGGTGAACTATACTTTTTGGCTTTCACTTCTGTATATACTTGTTGATTGTATTCAGTTCTATATCTATGTTAATGTTTTTTGTGTCTCATGCTGCATTGGTGGATTTGTAGGAGGATACTCATGCCACAGAACTTATCATTCTAAAACTAGGTATGAGTACTGCCTTATGGTACATTTTTCCATTATTACTTAGTGACAAGTTTAATAGATTAAGACCAAAGGAATTACTTATTATGAGATTGAACTCGAGAGCACAAACATGATCATTTGGTGATTTATTGAAGCATTTCACTCTGTTATTGTTATGTGTAATGTAATTTGTCTGCATTGCAGATTATGCCATGCCCGCAGAAACTATTATTGTGGGTGATCAAAAAGGCGAGTTTCTACATAAACGTGCTAATGAAACAATAAATATTCAGTTGCACGAATACGACAGCAGAGTTCTCGCAGGTTTAATCTTTGCAAGAGATAGACACAGACCCACTCGTAAGTGTCTGTGGTTTTAATATCATTTACTTAAAACTAATGCTACATCATGTGACACACTTTATCTTTACTTTGCTTGGTTAAATATCTCAGCATTTTTCTTTTATGTTACGGTTTACCCAAGTGTTTCTCAATGAAGCAGAGGCTGGACGAATTCAGTTTCATACTGCAATTTCAAGAGGAATGTCAGCGGTTGATCTGAGGTACAAGGCGGCTAATGTCATTGTTAGTCTCCCTGGGGATGGTACATTTCTAACTGCAAAAAGAAGAGGAGAAGCAGATGTTCTTAATGGCGATCAAATTATAGAAGACTTAGAAGAGAATATGGTACGCATCTGAAGCCAATCTTTTCGATTCAATTCTGGAGTTTTGGTTACTAAAATGAAATGCAGTTAGGAAACCAGATCTGGGATAGTGATGTATGTATTGGAGTTATAAAACGAAGAAAATACTCGATTGGTTTGGAGAAGAAGCCAAAGATCATGGCCTCGCTTTTATTTCATCTAGTGACTGGGTAAACATACACAAACACAAGTTTCATAACATATTCTTTTTGACCCATTTAAGTTTTATTTATTGCTTGCTTGTTTCTTTACTCAGAGCCGACGAACAATATCTTGCAGTCAATGGTGCCGGAATCAAAACCGGAGACTGTTTCCAACTTTACGTCCCTGATCTTAAAGTTGCCGAAGCATCACTGGAAGCTGTTTCTTCTAAGCTTAGAAATCTCAAGTCTAAAGCGAATAAAACGGAAGTCGTTGGGGGTTTTGTTTTTGCCGATAGTGGACGCAATGACTCCTTCTTTGGTCGTCCAAACGCAAACTGCTCGCCATTTTTGGAGAATTGGCCCGCGTTACCGTTTGGCGGTATATTCTGCGGTGGTGAAATTGGACGCAACATATCCCTGGAGGAGGAAGAGGAAAATAAAGAAACTAGCATCCGAAGATGTCTTCACGTTTTTAGTTCGGTATATCTTATTGTGTCGTTTACCTCTTCTTAATGTCAAGGTTTGTTTTATGTTTTTGAGAGAATAATAAGTTAATCAGAAAACTTTTTTATTTCAAAGCATATAGATATCTTGATTATTTGAGAGTAGTCGAACAGTTACAATGTTTGCAAGACATTGACGAACGAGTTTCCTACTTTTGTCAATTCTGCTGCATCATTGGTGGCGGCGGTGACTTATAACAAGGCAGCGGCATAACTGCTTCTTCGGACATCTTTTTCGCATCGGGTACTGGTATAACAAACTCGGACATCACTCTCGCATCATCCATTACGGGTGGCGGAGGCGACGGATAACAAGGCGGCGACATCTCTCTCGCATCACTTAAAAGAAAACCTTTACAAAACAAACACAACAATTTCAATAACGTAACCAAAATGCAAATTACTTAACTCATCAACTCATTAGAAAGATAATTTTCAAAGGTTTCGAGTGTTGTTTGCAAATGATGATTTATGTTTTGTTGAAAATTAGTTTTTATCGTCAAAAAGAGTTTCGACGAGGTGTATGAAAAAACTTTGGGTCATTAAAAAATGAAAAATCCAAAGTAATCAAAGGAAAAT